GCGCCGCGGGAACTTCAGCTGAAGCGACGGTGGCTGGTAAGGGTCACCACGCTGAAACCGCGGCCACGGTAAACCCACCGAGATAATATAGTTTTTTAAAAACTGGACGGTTATTTTTATTGTCAACTTTTTTACCGGGGTTTACCGCTATACCGGTTACCGTGACAACCCTAACCATAGGTGAGGATTGGGACGTAGATCGACCGGTAAATCGAGAGCCTGGCTTTCTGGCTCAGCTCCCTCTTCCCCACGACAGATCGGCTCAGCGTCCGCATCACTGCAGACGCCGCACCAATCCGCCTGTCGATCTCCCGATCCCTCCTACCCTCACTCGTGAACAAGACCCCGAGATACTTAAACTCCTCCACTTGAGGTAGGACCTCTCCCCCGACCCGGAGGTGGCAAGCCACCCTTTTCCGGTCGAGAACCATGGTCTCAGATTTGGAGGTGCTGATCCTCATCCCAGCCGCTTCACATTCGGCCGCGAACCTACCCAGCAAGAGCTGAAGGTCAGAGCTGGATGAAGCTAGGAGGACCACATCATCCGCAAAAAGCAGAGACGAGATTCTCCTGCCACCAAACTCGACACACTCCACACCACGGCTGCGTCTAGAAATTCTGTCCATAAAAGTGATGAACAGAACCGGTGACAAAGGGCAGCCCTGGCGGAGTCCAACCCTCACTGGGAACAGGTCCGACTTACTACCGGCTATGCGGACCAAACTCACGCTCCTCTGGTAAAGGGACTGAATGGCCCTTAACAGAAAGCCACCCACCCCATACTCCTGGAGCGTCCCCCACAGGGTGCCCCTGGGGACACGGTCATAAGCCTTCTCCAAATCCACAAAGCACATGTGGATTGGTTGGGCAAACTCCCATGCCCCCTTTTTGTTAATTGTGCAATAGAAAAATAATCATTAGATTAATTTTCTAAATAGTCATTAGAATAGTCGACTATTCAATAAAATAATCGTCAGAATAATCGTTTTAAAAATAATCGTTTACCCCCAGCCCTACCAGGTGGACAGCCTTCGAGAATTTGTCCACGATGGTTAGGATGGTCTCGAGCTGGTTGACAGGAGTTAATCCCGTGAAAAAGTCTAGGCCGATGTGGGGCCATGGTCAGTGTGGTATTGGGAGAGGGTGTAGAGCTCCAGTCGGGGGTTGGTTTGGGGTCTTGGAGCGGGCGTAAGTGGAGCAGGCGGCCACATATTCTTTGACGTCTATGGCCATAGAGGGCCACCATAGTGCACGTCGCAGGAACTGGAGGGTTCGGGTCTCCCCTTGGTGTCCAACCAGGCGGGATGCATGCCCCCAGGCCAGGAATTCAGAGCATTAGGTGGAGGGCACATAAAGCCGGCCGGAGGGCACATCGGTAGGTGTGGGTTCGGTGGGCAAGGCAGCCCGGATGGCGTCCTCTACTGGCCAGTGGAGAGCTGTGATGAACCTCTGGGCTGGGAGTATAGGTGGCGGTTCCCGGAGGGTGCAGATTGGGTCTAACGGCGGGAGAGGGCGTCAGCCTTCAGATTCTTTGAACCAGGGCGGTAGGCCAGGTGGAAGTGGAATGGTTCAAAGAACAGTGCCCAGCGGGCCTGACGGGGATTGAGTTGCCGAGCGTTCTGGATGTGGATGAGGTTCTGGTGGTCCGTCCAGATGGTAAATGGGTCTGGTGTACCCAGCAACCACTGCCGCCATTCCCCCAAGGCCCATTTAATGGCCAGGAGTTCCGTGTCACCTACCCCATAATTACTTTGGGTTGGAGAGAATTTACGGGAGAAGTAAGCACAGGGATGAAGCTTAGAATCGGGACTGTGTTGGGACAGGACCACCCCTGCCCCCACCTCAGAAGAGTCCACCTCCACTACAAAAGGCTTCATTGGGTCCGGATGTACGAGGATGGGGGCAGTGGTGAAGTAGTGGACCAGGGTGTGGAAAGCCTGTGTGGCCTCAGGAGTTAGACGGAATGGGCAGGTCTGGTTTGATGTTTTGGTTAGGGCAGTGAGAGGGGCCGCGATGGAGCTGAAACCGCGTATGAAGCGGCGGTAGAAATTCGAAAAGCCCAGGAAGCTCTGCAGCTGCTTCAGGGAAGTAGGTATCGGCCATTGGGCCACAGCCTGGACTTTCTGGGGGTCCATTGAGAAACCCTGAGATGAGACGATGAACCCCAGGAAGGAAATGGTTTCCTGATAAAAAGCACATTTCTCCAACTTGCAGTAGAGCTGGTTCTCCAACAGCCGGGAAAGGACTGCTCGGACGTGTGTGACATGTTCCTCTAGGGTTCGTGAATAAATCAATATGTCATCGAGGTAAACGAAAACCCATCCGCCCAACATGTCCCTCAGGACGTCCGTGATAAGGCGTTGGAAAACTGCGGGGCTGTTGCACAAGCCAAAAGGCATCACTAGGTATTCCCAGTGGCCTGTCGGGGTGATAAAGGTGGTCTTCCACTCATCGCCTTGTTTTATCCTGACTAGATTGTAAGCACTGCGCAGGTCCAACTTGGTGAAGATGGTGGACTGGGACACTACGTCCAGGGCGGTAGTCATTAAAGGCAAGGGGTGATGATCGCGGACCGTGATCTTATTTAAACCCCGATAGTTGATGCATTGTCGAAGACCCCCTTCCTTCTTCTTCACGAAGAAGAAACCCGTGGCTCCTGGCGAGGTGGAAGGGCGGATGAACCCATGTTGAAGGGCGTCGGCGATATAGGCATCCATGGCCTGAGTCTCTGCTGGAGACAGGGAGTACAAGCGGCCCCGAGGGGGAACAGAACCGGGCAGGAGTTTTATTTCCAGGTCATAAGGGCGGTGAGGAGGCAAGACAGTGGTAGGGTTCTTTGAAAAAACCTGAGCCAGGTCATGATAAAAGGAGGGGAACTGTGACTTGTCGACATCCTCAGGAATTGGGTAGCCAGGCTCTGAATCGGGTTGAGGTCGTCGATGAGAATGGCAGGCAGCACCCCAGGTAAGCACTCAGCCAGATGACCAGGAGATCTGGGGATTATGGCGCAGGAACCAGGAGTGACCCAGAATCGGGGGGACAAAGGAGCTGTCACAATAAGGAACCGGAGAGTCTCGGAGTGGGAAAGAATGTCCATGCGGAGACCAACCATCTCTTGGCGGATTGGATAGGGTTTGATCGGGGTTCCATCCACGGAAGTGACGGGAATGGTCTGGTGGAGGGAGGACAGGGGAACCTGAAGTCGAGAGGCGAGATCTTGGTCCATGAAACAGTTGGCTGCTCCGGAGTCCAGGAGCGCCTTCAGCTCGACGGGTCCCTGGGGAAGATGAAGGGTGCCTGTGAGCAAGGTGCGGGTCGAGGGGGCGCCGGCTACTCCAAGTAGGACCCCTCTGCTACTGCCTACTTGGAGTCTGCGTTTCCCGGCCGGAGGGGACAGGTGAAATGTCGATAGCCAGGAGAACCACAGTAGGCGCACAACCCCTCCCTATAGCGTCTCTCTCTCTCTCCTCTGGGTTCAGGTGTCCCAGCTACATTACACACGGAAGACGGAAGAAACGCTCAACAAAAGTTTCTAAGTTCGCTATTTTCAACAGTGATGTCATCATCTGAACGCACCATATTCACAGCAACTTGACAACTGGTGTAAGTTCCTACTGACCGTAGTGAGAAAAAAAAAAGAAATGAAGCCAAAACTCATCAGAAAATTATTTTAAAAGGGATTGCTAAACGTCACCGGATTGCCAGTTGAAGAGATTCTTCCGTCACGCAAACGATCTACTATAACGTGAGTTAAAAATAAAACTAAACTCAGAATTTGGGTTTGCTCAATGACAGGATGAATATGGAATTGATTATTAAAAGAAAATTATTTCCTTTGTAGTAAGAACGTGTTTTTCAAACTGCTCGTCACTTATTTGTTAAATGACCCCTGTCAAGTAAGTTTATTTGAATATTTTGTGTATATGTGCATATATTAGAAAAACAAAAATATTATAAATACAATTTCTTTGTGTGTTTATAGCTTTTCCTATACAAGAGTAAAATTCTGCACTCACCTGAAAGCACCGCTTCTCCTTTTATGGTCAAAGTCAGCTAAATAAACTGAATCTGTGAAACCATTCATTTGTATGGTTTAGAGACAGAAGTAGTGAGGTAAAGACATGAGGCAGAAGTGGAGGCTTGTCCATGTCTTTGTCTAGTTCATGTTTTAACGGTTTTCAGGTTTTGCTTTATTGACTCAATGAATATGGGCGTTGGGTGCCAGTCAGGTCTCTCTCCTGACACATGGGATAAAACAAAAAAAAACAGGCATACAAGTTGCAATGGTGAATTAAATAAAAACTCCCATTACACAAGGAAATATATTACCAGACATATACTCTTATGTTAAGTTGTCTGACCAAGAAATATAGACCTGACAGCTGTGGCCAGAACCCAGGAGAACGATCAGAGTCCAGAGCTTAACAACGGGGTGCTTTTCCATTTTTATTTTTGGTTTTTGTTTAGCGAATGTTGACCCAACGCAGAGAAACTGCTGTGTTTTCTCTATAAATGATGTTAAATTTGACTAATTTTAAAACCTGGTAAATATTTGCTAGTTTTTCTTATGTCCTGTAACCCTAAAAGAGTGTTTTTATTTGTTACTGTGATGGTAGTAAGCCTGTAAACGGGTAGCTTGTAGTTGTTGTCAAATTTGAACCATTTATTTTTGTATATTTTTCATTGAGTGTCTTTTATTCAGCTCAAATGTCTATTTAAAAAGATCATTTTACCTTTAAAATAACAGTTTTAGCAGAGGATGGTTTCGATCCATCGACCTCTGGGTTATGGGCCCAGCACGCTTCCGCTGCGCCACTCTGCTGCAGACCCCTGATGCAACTCCGCTTCATCATAAGCTGCTAAAGAGGCCCCCCCCCCCCCCCCCCCCCACACACACACACACACACACACAAAGCTCATATAGAATCATCCTGATGACCTGAGGCTGATCTGTAACAAATACTGAATCCAAAAGTAACACGAGCTTCTGTTTGTTCCAGTTCACTAAAACCACTCATCAGGCCTCGTTAGAGTCGACCGTTCTGCCGACCCAACGCACCAAGAAGATGAACAGGGAACCAGCCCCACCAGAACCTGGTGAGCCTCACCTCTCTGATCTCATTCTGCATCTTTTGCTCTTTACTGCCACTCTTAAGTTTTGTCTCAACAATTGATTCAGAGAAACCTGAATATCTTTTTCCTGTGTGGACAGAGAGCAAGCTGCCTCCTCTCTGTGTGGACAGGCGTTACTATAGCAACCTACTGGACCAGGTTCCCCCTGAAGCCTGCACTGTACCCTTTGTCATGAACTGTATGCTGGAGCAGGTGTGTGTGTGTGTGTGTGTGTGTGTGTGTGTGTGTGTGTGTGTGTGTGTGTGTGTGTGTGTGTGTGTGTGTGTGTGTGTGTGTAGGAAGAGGTGATGACAGTATGAACAAGCACCTCCAACTTCATTTCCTGTGTGGTTTTTTTGTGTCCAGGTGGTCCTCACTTTGTCCCAAACACCAGAGGAACCCAAACCGGTCAGCGGTGGCCCCTGGTTAGACCCCCAGCATGCTAGCTGCATGCAGGAGAACTTCCTGCCTCTTCTACACACCGAAGACGAGAGGAACCAGCATTTAACCGACGTCCTGACTTCAGCACAGAAGGATGAAGACATGAAGGTATAAAATCAGAAGTGTTGCTCCTTCAGCACAAGCAGCATTGGTGGTTCAGTGGTAGAATTCTCGCCTGCCACGCGGGAGGCCCGGGTTCGATTCCCGGCCAATGCAGCAACTTCATTTTTTCCCCGCCGAAGTTCTTAACACGTGACGTGAATTTTAGCGAGGAGCTCAAAGCCCTGTGTCCTTCTATCAAAGACCTCCTCCTGTTGTTTACAATGACTACGCTGCCTGTCCTGCAACATAAATGCAGTAGGCGTGCCGTTGCTGGTGTGTGTGTGAGACATGAGTGTGTGTGTGCGTTTGGGGGGGATGGGAAACACTCGCTCCAAAGAGCATACGTTGTGTAAGAGGACGTGGCTTGTTCTGTTGCTTCTACATTTGAATGTGAAGTGAGTTCAAAAAGGCTCCCAGCAGAAGGAGACTACCTATTTAACTCTGAAATGTTTAGACTCGAGACCGTGGAGCTGCTGCAGCTGCAGTCGTTTCTCACAAAGCTGAATCAGAGCGTAATACAACCGTGTGTCCAGCAGAGGGAGCTCAAATCAAGGTCAAAAGCAGCAAACACACTTGACTGCTGCAGATTCTCTATGTACACAAATACAGACTGACTAGTCATTAGATGTATTGCTGTAACACTACACGAGTATTTTTGGTGTTCAGATCAGGATTATACATCTGTGCTGTCGCTCTCTCCACACAAGGTTGTTCATTATTTAGTCCGGCCTGTTCTTGTTCTCAGTTTTAGATGTTGATGGAGACATCTGGAGATAGAAAGAGTCAGAAGAAGTCTGAGCAGCTTCAGGTTATCGCACACCACGATGAGAGAGCACTACGCTTAAGGGGCGTAACTGTGAGTATTTATTTACTTGTTTGTATGTTTCGTGTGTGGTTGTCATTCACACGCGTCTGTCTCGTAGGCGGATGATGTTTCAGTCCAGCTGAAGTGGAAGTGTCCACGATGAGGTTTTCTCCAGTTTTGGACTAAACTCAGCCCAAAGCTCAGGGGAGGAACAGCGCCACCTGTTGGATGCCAGACAAACAGCAGCTGCAGCACTTCTGTACAGATGGTCAGAAAACCTTTTTAATAGGTTTGAATAAAAACCTAAAACGCAGATCAGGCCTCGCCTCTGTCAGTGTGCCCCAGGGCAGCTGTGGCTACATCGTAGCTCATCCCCACCAGTGTATGAAAGTGTATTTGAGATAAGATAAGAACAACTTTATTTATCCCGAGGGAAATTCTTGTGTCATGTACATGCTCAAAGCAGTCAGAGAGACAAAGGAACAGGTGAAATAGAAATATGATATACAATATATACATTAAAAAATGATCTACAGTAGTACCATGTAGGAATATTATATATATTGTGTAATATATGAATGAGTGAATGACTGATTGTGTTGTGAAGTGCCTCGAGGGGTTGTAGAACCCTAAAAATGTGCCATACAGGCCATTTACTATTTACTTATGATGGTGTAATAACAGCTGTCACACTTTTATCACATTATAACAACACATGTTGGTGTAGTAACAGCTGTACTTCCTTATGTAGACGTGGCGGGTGACGTGGGCCGGAAGGCTGGCGCTGGTAATGCTGGGTAGTGGAGTTCGGTTGGGCTGAGTGTGTGTGGGATCCTCCGGGGGAGGATGTTGTGGGCTGTGAAGGAGGCAGCATGACAGGACCCCCCACCTTAGGGACGGCCCCAGAAGTCCCAGGGCGGCGGGCCCAGAAATCCGAGATGAGGGAGGGGTCCAAGATTGCGCTCGTCGGCTCCCAGGAGCGTTCCTCCGGACCGTAATCCGCCCAATCCACCAGGTACTGCCAACCTCTGCCACGGTGACGGGCGTCCAGCAGACGCCGCATGGTGAAAATCCCATCCTCGCCAAACCCTCGAGGCGGAGGCTCGGGATCCGGAGGAGGAGCGAGGGGAGAAGTCCGTACAGGCCTCAGCTGGGACACATGGAAGACGGGATGTACTTTGAGAGGCCTGGGCAGGGGGTTGCGATACGCCACCGGGTTAATGACCTTCCCTACTGGCTAGGGCCCCAGAAATCGTGCAGCGAGCTTCCGGGAGCCAGCGGGCAGGCGCCTGTTCCGGGTAGACACCCATACCCTGTCGCCAGGTTGGAAAGTCGGCCCTGTCCGATGGCGGCGTTTGTGCTGGCGATTGTATTCCGTGTTAGCTCGCTAGATGGCTGCCCGAGCACGGATCCAGGCGAGGCGGCAACACCGAACCAGGGTCTGGGCAGTGGGGACCTCAGTCTCAGGTTCCTGGTGGCGAAAGAGAGGGGGCTGGTATCCGTAGCAGAGCTCGAACGGGGAGAGACCAGTGGCCGAGGAGACGTGGAGGTTGTGGGACATCTCTGCCCACAAGAGGTATTTGGGCCAAGTGGTTGGTTGGGATGAGGCAAAGCAGCGGAGGTACCGACCAAGTTGCTGATTGGCACGCTCAGTCTGCCCATTGGTTTGTGGGTGGTAACCAGAGGAGAGGCTACTATTGGCACCAACCAGCTGACAGAAAGCTTTCCAGAATCTGGACATAAACTGGGGTCCCCGATCCGAGACTATGTCCTGGGGGATACCATGGAGACGCACCACCTGCTCCAGGAGGATTTCGGCCGTCTGCTTGGTTGTGGGCAGGCCAGGAAGTGCCACCAGGTGGTAGGGCTGTAGCGAAGCCTCGACGAAGTCGACAGCTCGATTCTAAAAATTTGTCGACGTCAGATCCGGAAGTCGACGCACCGCGCCCACTTGTTGCATCCCCAGGAGTTTGTAAATAGAGGAGGAATCTGCCCGTTTTTCCTCTAGTTCGCCCTCTTCTCCGCCTTCACTAACATCTCCGCCAAATACCGAAGACCCGGAACAACGTCCGTCCACTACTAGATTATTTTCCTGTTTTGCCCCTTCGTCTCCCGGCAACGGACAACAACTTCCGGGGTCAGATGCTCTGCTTCGTGTCTATCGCAGATGTAGAAAATCACCGGGAGCGCTTCTCCCTTCATTAAGGAGCTTCTTTCAGACATGAGGAGAGCTGTTTTGGTGGTAGCAGTCTCTCCTCCGTGCTGGTCTATTTGCTGCTGGGTGTTTTTGGTTTATTTAAACTTGGTAACTTGAACTTAACGTTGGTAAAGCTACTGTTAGCATCTTCGCTAACAGCTTCTTGCGTTGGGATAAGCTGTTACGTTTTGGTTCAGAGTTCATCTTTTTTGTGGTGTAGATCTCCCTTTTATTACATTTAGAGTGTTGTGGGTTTTCGGTTTAGTGTAAAATATCACCTGAGTTTGGTTTAACCCGTAACACCACTCGCCTCACGCACATAAGTGACCAAAACAAAGCAGCATGGAGACACTCCATCTTCTACCACCTCTCAGGCAGCAGCCTGCACTCCCAAGTTCTACACGTCACCAGAACATAACCAACCGCAACACAATAAAAGCAGTGTTGTACAAAATGGAAGGCCTGTAGTGTTTATTCTCTTACAGTAAGAATTTATCAATTTTTTTTGAGGAATTTATTTGAGATTTTCTGGTTTTTGTTAATTGTCGTCGTCGTCGTCGTCTTCCTCCGCTTATCCGGGTCCGGGTCGCGGGGGCAGCATCCCAACTAGGGAGCTCCAGGCCGTCCTCTCCCCGGCCTTGTCCACCAGCTCCTCTGGCAGGACCCCAAGGCGTTCCCGGACCAGATTGGAGATGTAACCTCTCCAACGTGTCCTGGGTCGACCCGGGGGCCTTCTGCCGGCAGGACATGCCCGAAACACCTCCCCGGGGAGGCGTCCAGGAGGCATCCTGACCAGATGCCCAAACCACCTCAACTGGCTCCTTTCGATCCGGAGGAGCAGCGGTTCTACTCCGAGTCCCTCCCGAATGTCCGAGCTCCTCACCCTATCTCTAAGGCTGAGCCCGGCCACCCTACGGAGGAAACTCATTTCGGCCGCTTGTATCCGCGATCTCGTTCTTTCGGTCATTACCCAAAGCTCATGACCATAGGTGAGGATTGGGACGTAGATCGACCGGTAAATCGAGAGCCTGGCTTTCTGGCTCAGCTCCCTCTTCCCCACGACAGATCGGCTCAGCGTCCGCATCACTGCAGACGCCGCACCAATCCGCCTGTCGATCTCCCGATCCCTCCTACCCTCACTCGTGAACAAGACCCCGAGATACTTAAACTCCTCCACTTGAGGTAGGACCTCTCCCCCGACCCGGAGGTGGCAAGCCACCCTTTTCCGGTCGAGAACCATGGTCTCAGATTTGGAGGTGCTGATCCTCATCCCAGCCGCTTCACATTCGGCCGCGAACCTACCCAGCAAGAGCTGAAGGTCAGAGCTGGATGAAGCTAGGAGGACCACATCATCCGCAAAAAGCAGAGACGAGATTCTCCTGCCACCAAACTCGACACACTCCACACCACGGCTGCGTCTAGAAATTCTGTCCATAAAAGTGATGAACAGAACCGGTGACAAAGGGCAGCCCTGGCGGAGTCCAACCCTCACTTGGAACAGGTCCGACTTACTACCGGCTATGCGGACCAAACTCACGCTCCTCTGGTAAAGGGACTGAATGGCCCTTAACAGAAAGCCACCCACCCCATACTCCTGGAGCGTCCCCCACAGGGTGCCCCTGGGGACACGGTCATAAGCCTTCTCCAAATCCACAAAGCACATGTGGATTGGTTGGGCAAACTCCCATGCCCCCTTTTTGTTAATTGTGCAATAGAAAAATAATCATTAGATTAATTTTCTAAATAGTCATTAGAATAGTTGACTATTCGATAAAATAATCGTCAGAATAATCGTTTTAAAAATAATCGTTTACCCCCAGCCCTACCAGGTGGACAGCCTTCGAGAATTTGTCCACGATGGTTAGGATGGTCTCGAGCTGGTTGACAGGAGTTAATCCCGTGAAAAAGTCTAGGCCGATGTGGGGCCATGGTCAGTGTGGTATTGGGAGAGGGTGTAGAGCTCCAGTCGGGGGTTGGTTTGGGGTCTTGGAGCGGGCGTAAGTGGAGCAGGCGGCCACATATTCTTTGACGTCTATGGCCATAGAGGGCCACCATAGTGCACGTCGCAGGAACTGGAGGGTTCGGGTCTCCCCTTGGTGTCCAACCAGGCGGGATGCATGCCCCCAGGCCAGGAATTCAGAGCATTAGGTGGAGGGCACATAAAGCCGGCCGGAGGGCACATCGGTAGGTGTGGGTTCGGTGGGCAAGGCAGCCCGGATGGCGTCCTCTACTGGCCAGTGGAGAGCTGTGATGAACCTCTGGGCTGGGAGTATAGGTGGCGGTTCCCGGAGGGTGCAGATTGGGTCTAACGGCGGGAGAGGGCGTCAGCCTTCAGATTCTTTGAACCAGGGCGGTAGGCCAGGTGGAAGTGGAATGGTTCAAAGAACAGTGCCCAGCGGGCCTGACGGGGATTGAGTTGCCGAGCGTTCTGGATGTGGATGAGGTTCTGGTGGTCCGTCCAGATGGTAAATGGGTCTGGTGTACCCAGCAACCACTGCCGCCATTCCCCCAAGGCCCATTTAATGGCCAGGAGTTCCGTGTCACCTACCCCATAATTACTTTGGGTTGGAGAGAATTTACGGGAGAAGTAAGCACAGGGATGAAGCTTAGAATCGGGACTGTGTTGGGACAGGACCACCCCTGCCCCCACCTCAGAAGAGTCCACCTCCACTACAAAAGGCTTCATTGGGTCCGGATGTACGAGGATGGGGGCAGTGGTGAAGTAGTGGACCAGGGTGTGGAAAGCCTGTGTGGCCTCAGGAGTTAGACGGAATGGGCAGGTCTGGTTTGATGTTTTGGTTAGGGCAGTGAGAGGGGCCGCGATGGAGCTGAAACCGCGTATGAAGCGGCGGTAGAAATTCGAAAAGCCCAGGAAGCTCTGCAGCTGCTTCAGGGAAGTAGGTATCGGCCATTGGGCCACAGCCTGGACTTTCTGGGGGTCCATTGAGAAACCCTGAGATGAGACGATAAACCCCAGGAAGGAAATTGTTTCCTGATAAAAAGCACATTTCTCCAACTTGCAGTAGAGCTGGTTCTCCAACAGCCGGGAAAGGACTGCTCGGACGTGTGTGACATGTTCCTCTAGGGTTCGTGAATAAATCAATATGTCATCGAGGTAAACGAAAACCCATCCGCCCAACATGTCCCTCAGGACGTCCGTGATAAGGCGTTGGAAAACTGCGGGGCTGTTGCACAAGCCAAAAGGCATCACTAGGTATTCCCAGTGGCCTGTCGGGGTGATAAAGGTGGTCTTCCACTCATCGCCTTGCTTTATCCTGACTAGATTGTAAGCACTGCGCAGGTCCAACTTGGTGAAGATGGTGGACTGGGACACTACGTCCAGGGCGGTAGTCATTAAAGGCAAGGGGTGATGATCGCGGACCGTGATCTTATTTAAACCCCGATAGTTGATGCATTGTCGAAGACCCCCTTCCTTCTTCTTCACGAAGAAGAAACCCGTGGCTCCTGGCGAGGTGGAAGGGCGGATGAACCCATGTTGAAGGGCGTCGGCGATATAGGCATCCATGGCCTGAGTCTCTGCTGGAGACAGGGAGTACAAGCGGCCCCGAGGGGGAACAGAACCGGGCAGGAGTTTTATTTCCAGGTCATAAGGGCGGTGAGGAGGCAAGACAGTGGTAGGGTTCTTTGAAAAAACCTGAGCCAGGTCATGATAAAAGGAGGGGAACTGTGACTTGTCGACATCCTCAGGAATTGGGTAGCCAGGCTCTGAATCGGGTTGAGGTCGTCGGTGAGAATGGCAGGCAGCACCCCAGGTAAGCACTCAGCCAGATGACTAGGAGATCTGGGGATTATGGCGCAGGAACCAGGAGTGACCCAGAATCGGGGGGACAAAGGAGCTGTCACAATAAGGAACCGGAGAGTCTCGGAGTGGGAAAGAATGTCCATGCGGAGACCAACCATCTCTTGGCGGATTGGATAGGGTTTGATCGGGGTTCCATCCACGGAAGTGACGGGAATGGTCTGGTGGAGGGAGGACAGGGGAACCTGAAGTCGAGAGGCGAGATCTTGGTCCATGAAACAGTTGGCTGCTCCGGAGTCCAGGAGCGCCTTCAGCTCGACGGGTCCCTGGGGAAGATGAAGGGTGCCTGTGAGCAAGGTGCGGGTCGAGGGGGCGCCGGCTACTCCAAGTAGGACCCCTCTGCTACTGCCTACTTGGAGTCTGCGTTTCCCGGCCGGAGGGGACAGGTGAAATGTCGATAGCCAGGAGAACCACAGTAGGCGCACAACCCCTCCCTATAGCGTCTCTCTCTCTCTCCTCTGGGTTCAGGTGTCCCAGCTACATTACACACGGAAGACGGAAGAAACGCTCAACAAAAGTTTCTAAGTTCGCTATTTTCAACAGTGATATCATCTGGACGCACCATATTCACAGCAACTTGACAACTGGT